GGTTGCAAGGATCATGATAGTACATTCAATAAGTAAAATTACTCTGCAATTACTACTAAGTACACATACAGTGTTAGCTGATATTTTGTTCAGTGTTTGTACTGTAGCAGATCTGGTTGTACAATTTTGTTTTGTGGACAGAGCAAGCGGACACCTGCATTCACCTTAAATTTTTATGTATCTAGGTAGGGATTTTATTTACATAAGAAAATCCATTTTGTTATAGATTAAGACATTGAAAATAATAGGATATCAGCTTATACTGCTTCTGTGGTAGCTGACTGCATAACGTACTACTGAGCAAAGAGGAGATGGATGTAAGTTTATTAGGGAAACAGTAGTTTGGAGATGGAAAAGTACATTATTCTACTACTTTCATCAAACAGATTTAAAATATTTTTTTCAATATTTTTTCTATTTAGAGCAAATCATTCATGTTCATCAAACTTAATAATGAGAACAGTATAGGGGTAGAACAGAAAAAGTGTCGAAGTCTTGCCATAGTTCTCCTGAAATCTGTTTCACAGCTTCATTACTTTCAGTTCTATTTCTTGGTTCCATTTTATTCTCTAGCTTCCCTCAATTTGCCCCTTAACTTGAGGTATTTAATACAGACTAAATGGTTTTCTTTCTCCGTATTTTGATTTTATACATACTCATTATTACTGTAAAATCCTGTAATCATAGTTATTGGGGGAAAAAAATACTGGTGTTAAAATCTGTTTCAGATTTCAAAATAGTATTGAGGTTCACTCAAGTTTTCTGAATTTTTTTGAGCTTAAGTAGACTAGAAGGAGGCTGTAGTACACCCTATAATCAGTAATTTCAGCCTAGATTTTTCTTAATTTCTCAAGTAGTTGTAATTTCAGAACTTATGAAAAAAAGAGAAATTGTACTTCTGAAGCTCCTCAATAGAGAAGATTCCCAGTCAGGTCACTATGTCTGATATTACACTCACACTGCATTATGTAGAAAGTGAAGCCTATACATCCACTGCATTTTCATCCATCTCTGGGCCTTCATGGGTGTTCAGCCCACAATGATCACATTTAGAAACCTTCAGGCAATTAGCAGTCTTCCCAAGGTGAATTTCTCTCTGTAATGTAATATTTTTTGTTCTAAGTAGGGTACACTGAATTTCACCTTTCACCTTCTAAGACGAAAATGAGACTTGGAGGAAGGGGACATTCTATCAAAATAATGACTGCAAAGTGCTCTTTCCCAGCTGTCTTTCTTCCTACTTAGCAAGTTGCAATTCCAGTATCTGAAAGCCAAGTCTATTTGAACAGTGGATGGAAAGCATAGTAGGCATGTTAAACTTAAGTTATTAGATTCTGGCTATGCTTCATTTTCTGGAAATTAATCTTTTATTACAGGCAGAAATACATGAAATGTCTTCCCCGTAATATGGTCCTTATACCAACAAGTTAATATGCTACAGAAGAGCAGCACTTCCCTGCCAAAGTTAAATTTTTGAATCCTTTGATCAGATTCATATTTTGTTCTTCAGAAGACAGTAGACTTTTTAAGCAAGGTTTAGATTAATGTTCAGTTCTTTTAGATTGCCTGAGGTTCTGAGGTGTTATAACCCTGCTGAAACCATAGCTAATTAACCACTTCCACTGCTAAATATGTAATTGATTTTCATCTCTACTAACCTGTAACAGGTAAACATGATATATATAACAAAGTTTGGTATTTTTGAAGACTATTTTGTTCAGTTGCAAACAACATGTCCTCACAATTCCTGTTACCTAAAAGCTTACACAAGTAGACAAATACATAGTTATGTGCTGCAAATACTTCATTAATGACACAGAGAAAGGATTTCCTGTAGAACAGATGGCCCTTGTAGTGTTAACCAAACTGCTCATCTAAACCAGCATTGTCTGGAACGTAATGCCCTCAGGCAAGGGTCCGACCCAGTTGTGGAGAGGCACCATGCAATGATGACAGATGGTCATGTGTTGAGGCAGTCCAAAGACCATGCATATGTACCATGGGTGGCTGTTGAAAGCTCAGGTTCTCAGTGGAGATTATTCAGGAGGCTTATGGATGGGGTGTCCTAATCTGAGCAACATTAATCTAACATGGGAACAAAAATCAGATGGAAAGAAGTAAGCAATAGTTTCTCAGCCCTTCAGCAGTGTTTCATTGGATAGATCAATAGGGGGCAGAAATTTGTTTCATTAGCTTCAATCTGCTTAAAGGGTATATAACATTTAGTCAATCACTCTGCACTAGACTGAGAGACTGACAAAAATAAGCACCTAGAATGATACAATCCTAATTTTGAGAAGCAAAAATGAAAATGAACTAATATCTCAAATGATGGGAAAAGGCAAAAAAACATTTACTGTTTATATCAATTTCATATTTAATTCTGAATAAAATCTTGATTTGCCTGTCTGAGGTTTTAAAACTGAAAGACAAGAAACATACCATAAATAGCAAAGATTTTTTGTTACTAAAAGTTTAAGATTTATTCTGTATTAAGAATGTGTTTCTGTGATCTGGAGATGCTCTTGAAATGGTACAGGAGTTTCACTCACCTCCAAAAGTTGATCTTTTATCCGGTTTATGGTTGCTTTTGCAAAGATCTTTGTTCTTCTTTTCAGACATGAAGTGCATCATTTTGAGAGGTGTACTTGATGACAAAGATTCAAGAAGTTCAGCTTATTTTTTTATTTTCAGTAGAAACATTACAAACTTTAATCCCTACAGGGATTAAAGTTAACTATTTTTTAATCCTTTTTTTTTTTCCCCACATAAGCTCTTAAATGAAGAACAGGTACAAGTCTCATTTTCTTTTTGACTGTCATCCTGAACTAGAGTTCAGAACAGCTACTGCTTCCTCAGGGGACCATTCCAAGAGCTATGGATCTTCAAACTATGGAAAGTCTTTAAATGTGGTCTTTTCTACCCTAACCTGACCCAGCAGTCAGAGAGCAGATCAGTCAAGGTTACACCCTATTAGCCTTCTATTTCAAGCATCTGTAATTCTTAAAAAGAATCAGCTGGAAATGAAATCTGAGGAGTTCTGAGCTGCTTTGCACCATTAAGCACATGGTTTGATATTTTGTGTGCAGTTATATTGGGCCTAATTCTGTTTTTACAGCTCTGCATTTACTTAGGTGTATTGCTATTGAAATCTGGAGTGTTATCAGTGAAAATCAGTGTTGGAAGATGAATTTGGTCATGCAATTTTTTTTGAAGTCTTTTAATAATAATTGATAATTATTTTGCAATTTGCAATTAATTTGATTTTTAATAGTCAGTAAAATGGCTTTCCTTTATTTAAAAGGCTTGGTACTGCCATGTATCTACAATACTATCTATTCTTTAACTCTGATGTTTGCACCTCTGAACTAACTAGCCACACAGCCACCAGCATGTGTATTTGAGAGAAAATAGAATGCATCTGCAGCTGAAAAAACAAAATGACGACTTGATGTAGAAAGGGCAAGGGTTTAATACAAAACACTACCGACAGCTTGAAATCTCTGTTCAAACAGATGAGTGTATAAGGTACCAGATTCATGTCCAGTGTGCCTGTAGAGAACTGTGGAAATATAATAGGGATTGAATGTTTCTCTAGGAGGAGGAAATGCATATTTAGATGAAGTGTGTGGAAGTAGGAAATGACTGAGGCTTCATATCTTTATTGTTGGTTTTTTCATTTGATTTTTTATTTTCTCTGTGTAGTGTAGGCTATAACTTACAGTTGGAGAAAGTAATACATATGGCATCTTGCTGAGAGAGAACAGTGTATTTGAGGTGGGTTAGCAGGTTACAGATTCCTGACATGTCATGCCCAATTAATGGCACTCCAATTTCATGAGGGATAAAAATATTATAGGATACTAAAGTTTTTCACAGCCATGGTCAGATTTCAGCACTGCAAGTAGAAGAAAAAGAAATTGCAGTGACTAATCTGCCAATGTAAGGTGAAACTGAAACAGTGCTGCCTGAGGAGAAAACAATTTCAAAGGGAACTTATAGAAGAGAAATTGTAGAACCACTCAAGTTTGGAAAAAAACCTTCAAGATCATCAAGTCCAACCCTAACATGACCTCTCGAGTCCCGTGGCCTTTAGTGCCATGCGCTCATGTCTATTAAATACCTCAAGGGATAGGGACTTCACCATTCCAATGTTTGATCACTCTTTCATTGAAAAGAATTCTTCCTAGTATCCAATCTAAGACTCCCATAGGACAACTTGAGACTTTTTCTTTGTGTCCTATTAGCTGTCACACAAGAGAAGAAGCCAACACTCTCCTTGCTGCAACCTCCTTTCAAGTTCTTGCAAGAGCAAGGAGGTTTCTCCTATGCATGCTCCATCAGCACCTGCATATGTCCTTCCATCCAGCTTTCCATGCTGGAAAAACAGCTTCCTTTTAAGTCTGTGCACCTGGCATTTCCTGCCCTTATACCTGGTGTGGGACTGATTAGTGGCAGGTCATCCATACAGAATCAAAGATCAGGAGGTATCCCTGGGCCCAAAGAATAGACACAATTGTGCAAATCAGGTCTAGATCTGAGTCAACTTTTTTTTCTAATTTCTTTACTGTATACTTTCTACATACTGCAGGTTTTGTTTGGGGAATTTACAGTGATCAGTCTCGAGTCCTCTTAAATTTAAGGCAATGGTAATTTTCCCACTTATAGCATTAAGATGAGGTTCAGACACATATACAGCACTAAGGTGAGGTTCAGACACATAAGACTAGGACAAATGCATCTAATTGTCAACCGTGCTCCTTTTGTTACAATTGCCAAAACATTGCCTAACTGCCACCATTCTTAGAAACAAAGGAAAAGATGAACCGACTTTGAACTGCTGGCTTAGGCTGCATAATCTTTCAATTATTAGCAGAGTACTGGAAATATTTAATAGACCAAAATAGGAGAACTTGACACAGGAATACCACTGCATATGAGCAAAACCTGTATTTGTTTTTGCAAGATGATTAAGAAAATAATGTTTTACTTACTTTTAGATAACAAGTGTAGCTGCTGAAAGTTCCCTGACTGCTGAAAACTGAAGAAATGTGAAGTCAAGAGAGGCAAACCATAGCAAGGTAGTGGTCAGTATTTCTAAGATGTGCTTTGAAGACACTTGAGAAGCTCCTACACAATTTTAACCACTTTTTCTATTTTTTCCCCCTCTGTAGAAAGAAAGCTGAGCAAAGTAATGCAATATGGAAAAAGAGATTCCAGATTGTACAAAACAGGTGTAGTATTATAATAACTTCGGTTGCATTGATAAAATACTAAAAATCAGACTTTGCAAATCAGTTCTTCAAGATAAAACCCTAGGGCTGCTCTGGTTCTTGTGTGTGCTCCATAGGCAGCACAGATCAGATGGCATTAGGTTTAGCTCCCTCTGCACTATGCAGTCCTCTGCTGCTATCTCTAGAAACCTTGAATTTTCAAACACTCATAACTTTAGTCTGCATCTTAGAATGAGCAACATACGTATTTGGTGTCATGCTGTAAAAACAGCATTCTCGTAGGCCATGATATCTCCAAGATAGCTTTTAGGTAGAAAGCATCAGATCAAGAATATCTAAAATCCATATGCAGTAGAATATAGAATCACAGAATCATTAAGATTGTAAAAGATCATCTAGTCCAACCCCAACCCACCCCCACCATGCCCACTAACCATGTCCCTCCGCTCCACACATCCATGGTTCTTCAACACCTCCAGGGACCGACTGTTTTCTGAGAATTTCTAGAGTTTCAAATCCAGCTGGGCTGGAACCGTATTTTAGAAAGACAAACTCCCCTCCAACTGCACACTCTACTGTACTTCAGATGGTTATTTTACTTTTTATCTCCCCAACACCTCTCAACAGTGTGAGAATGGTGTAATTCCCATCCTACAAATGGTGAACTGTAATGAAAGTACATCCATTCACAGCAAACACTTTGTGCTTATACAGTTTGATACAATATCCCTAAGGTCAATGGAGAGCTTCTTGTTAAGTTTGTTATTCATTGAGATTGGCCTCAAGTTATCCTCTCATCTGAAAATTGTGGGAATACATTATGTTGATACAGTGATAACATAATGACAGTCTTATCAGTGTTCTTAGCAATCATGCAAGACTCAGTAGAAAAATAAAATTATATTATTGTTATCTACTCAGCTCTATCTTAATGAGTATTTACTGTGTTACCTGAATGGGCAGGGACTGGAGCATTTTTAACAGAGAACATTAGAATTAGTTGCTGAAAAAAGAGATTAATTTCTAATTTTATATGCAGCAAAGAACTCTCACATCATGGAAACAGATTAATTTAGATAAAAAGGCAATTAATGATAAGATACAAATAGTCCATAGGAAGGAAAATCATTATCTCTTGCTTCTTTTTTCTTCCTGACAGTGTATTAAAGGACTGTGCAATTTATTTTTACAATACAGTAGGATTACCTGGTCAGCATATTTACCTTGAATTTTATGCTGTACATTGCTATAAATTATTATTCTATTATGTGTATAGTTTAAAATTTTAACTATAAAATATATGAGCCTCCTTGTGATCAGAAAAACTTCAGTGTGTTTATGAATATCATCAGACTGCAGTCTGGCGCATGAAATGCCTGAAAAATATCTAGAGAGCATTGAATGCTGGTTGCTCTAAAAGTAATGCCTCCTGTTTATTTCCAGTGAAATGACAACTGATACAAAGAGCCCAATAATAACATTTGATAGAGCAAATTCACGCCTACAAAATATTCTTTTTCAACACAGACACCACCATTGGCTATGCGTTTCCTCCAGCAAAGAAAAAGAGCCTGCATTCTATGTTTGTAAAAATCTGCATGAGTGGAGACAGCCCTCTGTCACTGCCTCCACTATTGAATCACACCACCCACCACCTCATTGCTTCTCCAGAAGCATTCAACAAGCATCGATGAATATCAGTGGGTGCCATTTTATCCATATGGAGCAATTCAGTTACACTCCTTTACTTCCTATGCTATATAATCAAAGAATATTAGGCTGTTATAATTACAAAATAAACAAGAGAGTTAGGCAAAGTAGACTACGATGACAAAAGAGAATAAATGGAAGGCTTACCCTTATACTGGGCTCACCACAAAACACCAGTAGAGGTGATCTCCAGAAAAGAACCTTCCCCACTGGTAGCCAGCTCTTAAATAGGTCTAGGAGGAGCCCGGCTCCACCCTTCCGGCAGCACAGGAGAATTGCCTTCACCTGTGCTCCCATGGCTGACTCAGCGCTCGCCTCAGGTGATCAATCAGAGGTTCAGGCTGTGACTCAGCAGTTCCCACACATATGCTCTCGCATGTCATGTGTCAGTCAGACTGCCCCTCTGATGCCATCCCTCACACAGAAGCAAAATGTACCAGAATATTGTCAGGAAGGTTCAAGCCCTACTGCTGTACCACCAACACCTGCCTCTGACAGTGTGGCCAACACAATAAAACAGGAAGCATTGTTTTTGGAGGAGCTTTCATGTGTCTGATTGCCTCTTCTCTTTCATTTTTCATAAAAATTAAATCCATTTAAGTGTTCCTTTACTTCTTTCTTAATTTGCTATTTGCCACTAAAAGATCTGTTAAGTTCTAATCTTGTAACCACACACAAACAGGGCAGAGAAATCAAACTTTATCATCTCTGCCCACTCAAGTATAACAGCTGTGACAGGTGCTAGTTAATGTGAAATGGTTTTTATTGTTTTGCTTTGTTTTTTTGTTTTTTTGTTTTTTTTTAAACAGACTTTTTTTTACTTTAAAATCTTTGTGTCAAAGACTTGAGTCACATCAAGCCATGTTGTCTTCTAGTATTACTTAACTGCAACTGAGCTCTGGTTATTTTGTGGCACAGGAGACTATTTAAACGCCAGTTATCAAACTTTCATGGCAAATACAGGAAAAATAATTCAAACCATCCAAACTATTAGCCTTACTTAAGAAAAAAACTTACCACCTGGAACAATTTTCATCTTATTTTTTTCCCTTTGCTTACCTTATTTTAGAAGTTCAGTTTCAGTATTGTAATACCTTTCTTTGTTCACAAAGAGAAAAAAAACATACAGCTGTTCAAATTACCTCATGAGCTGGACCTTGAGAAATTAGGTAGCAATTTTCAATGATTAGATAAAGTATCAGCACTCAGAGGTTAAAGATACAGTAAATTTACAGAAAGAAAAAATGACAGTATTTAGAATTCCAGTTCTGTTTCTATTCCTCACAGATTTTTTCCACTGCATAGGATCTGTTACTTTACTCATGTATTTAATATACTATACTTAATATAATATATTAATGGCATTTTAATGTCTATGGATTACTGAATTCTTACTGATTATTGCTCTACTTTTGCTGATCAATAGTGTTTACCTAAGTATTTCCCCTGTAAAAGATACGAAAAGTAAATTTTCTCTAACTGGCAATTTTAAACTTTAATGTTATGTATGGTATTGTTCAGAATGGCAGCATAATATAAGTTCATTCAATATGAGATTTTTTTCAGTCTGCATGCAATTAAGGACGAGATGTTTCTTAGACAAACACTGCAACGCCAGTTTCTAGCATTTAGATATACATTTGCTGGTGAAACAGTAAGCAGAGACGCAGCAACTGGACTGCTTTTTTAACTGTTATGTTTTTATTGGAAGTCATGCTGAGCTTTCTAATGTAACAAGTCATAGAAGCCAGCCTATAGCATAAAGTCAAACAAATTTGATAGCGAAAATTGTGAAATGGTAAATCCAACAAAGGCAGATTGTCAAGGCCGGATATGCTCAGCTGCACACAGCACAGTCTTGTGTACGTAGTATGTGTACAAATATCACACATGGTAGAGCCTTAATTATAGCTTTTGCAGACTCCAGATTTGAACTAAAACTACAGACTTCCCCTTGCTTCACCTGACAGAAAGTAGAGGGATTAGGAACTATAAGACTTAGTGTATTTCTTGCTCTGAGGACTACTCACATTGTATGTCTTAACGCAGCAGGGAGTGCAGCCCCTGAAAACTATCCATCTTCCTCCTATGCAAGTGTGTGCAAACGTCAAGAGTGGCATTTTGACCTTTTTTCTGGATAAGTTTAATAGGGTGAAGTATGTTCTAGATTAAGATACAGGACGTGCACAGACTTGTTACTTCAGTTACTTCTACTGATTTTTTTTCCTAATAAAGGAAGTATATCTGATATATTCATACATATACAGGATATTAATATATCAAATTTAGTCTCAAATATATTCAACTCTTCTTGTAAAAAATGGACAATTCAGGAACAGATAAGTTAAAAGATTTCCCTCTGATTTATAAAAGATTATGCATTGCAAATCCATATTCAATAAGTGTAAAAAAAATGTTGCATCCTTTTCAAAATCTTTTATTAATGTTGATTTCTTGCTTATCAGCTCATATGCTTAAACAACACTGTCTTAAAATGTGTTTAATATATGTCTGGTCTGTCATTTACAGATGGTTTGCCCATTTTGTATTGAAAATGACATAAAAGGCACAGACAGATTCAAAGATGGCTCACATTTACCTTCAAATTTGGTAAGCGTTTTTCTTTTTCAGAACATAAAAGCTCAGATATGCTCAGCAGTAAATAGGGGTAGCATTTCTGACAATTCTGTGAAGCACAGGACTGTGACATATCCAGGAATCAACATTCATCATTTTCATAATGGACAGTTGTCTCAGTGAAAGAATTTCTCAATGTGAGACAATGATTTGTTGCTGAGACAGAGATATTTTTCTTTACAACATGAATTGTGATTATTTAAATGCATTTCGTGATTGAAATATTTTACATATTCATATCTTCCAAGTGTTGGTTGCCACATGCATGCAGTAACAAACATTCGGGTAAAGCAATCCACATTCAGTTTTAAAGCTAATGTAACTTGAAATAATAAATAGATATTTGTGGCTGCAACTGTAACTACCTGACTATGAACCAAAATAGTATTTCTCTGTGAGTAACAAGGCTGATATAAGCTTGATTCATCTAGTACTAAAATAAATGGGAAGACCAGAGTGAGAAATGAAATGGTATTCTAAAGTTCTGGATAGCACGGTTGCCTAAAACAATAACATTTCATTTTGTCTTTTAAGCCTAATGCCTCAAGCTCAGTGAATGGATTATCAGACTCTTTCAGGGGAGGGATCCAAGTTATAGCAGACTAATCGCTTCTCATGATCTTCAACAAGAAAATATTTCTCATCTAGCCCCATTATATTCCCAGTCTACTGGAAAGCAGAAAGAAGACGCAGGTGAATTTCCTAGGCTTCTAAACACACCAAAAATGGCCAGTGTTTGAAGATGGTGCTTTTGAAATCTTTGATGCAACGTAGCCTATTCTGCAATTTAAGTATTTGTTTCTAACTCTTTAGTATATACTTGAACATAATCATATTTCTCCAGATACATTTTCCTGCAAACCTTCAATGTACACAGAGCTTTTGGGGTCTCCTTCTTTGGAGATACTCAAAACCTGCCTGGATGCTTTCCTGTGCAATTTACTCTGGGGAATCTGTGTTAGATGGGGTGTTGGAGTAGATGATCTCCAGAGGTCCCTTCCAGCATAGTTCTGTGTGACTGTGAATAGTCCTCTCTTCCCATGAGAAAAGAGATGAATGTAATGCCATTTCAATGCTGAATTCCAATATCACCACTAAACTTTATTTGAAGAACATTATGAGATATTTACCTTTTCTTTTAGCATCTATCAAAAATACACTACAACAACAAAGATGCATGAGTATAATACTAAACCCTCTTCTTTTCAGTATCTCTACTATTAAATAATTTTTAAAATGTAATTGCAATTAAGCACAATATTGTTCACTCTATCTCTTAGGAATGTTAGTTTATGGTTTATTTAAAAAGCAGGATTGTTCTGAGGGCTTTTTGTTTATTTGATATGTGGTATAACAATTTATTTACCAGTACCTTATGGTTCCTTCTCTGGCAAGATGCTGAGTATCAATACCAATATGTGGATAGCAGTGTTTAATTCAAGTGGCTGTGCTTATGTCTAGAACAAACTACACATATCTAAATGATTTGTTGTAATTTTCATATGTATTTCTGACTATGTAAATATAGAGAATTGCTACCTTTTCTACATTTTTATCTGTAAATGTGTGAACATCATTTAAACATTTCCCCTTGGTTTAGTTATACACTCCAGTATACAAGTTTTTACTTTGAACATCGCTGTACTCTTTGCATTCTGCTTATGTAGCTCTTCTTCAGCTATTCTGATTCCGTACGTACAAACTGCTTTTATTTTGGGATGAGTTAGAGGTATCACAAGTGTGGAGATCATTCTGATAGCCTTGATCCCTTGGACAGTCCTAATTCTGGAAACATTTAGTTGCCTCTACTGTTTTGCAATTAGCATTGGCTGTGTTGTGATCAGTAAATAACAGTGATAAGGGCAACCACGAAGAATATATTGTATGTCACAGTATTTTGTGAACAATCAGATTTTTCCTTCTTCCTGTTGGCTGTTTGCTTAAACTATGAAAAGAGAGCTAAGTTAGCCTGTATGCTTTTGGAGCATTAACTCAGTGTCAGTTCCCCCACATGTGGAAGGCTACATTCAAAAGGACTCAGATCTATTACATTCTTGCTGGAGAGGACTGCCCAGTATACAAGTGGAGGATTCTTTGGGATTTGAGGCAAAAAGTTCTTTAATAGCAAATTTACACTTATCTCAAAAACACAAATATCTTACTCAAGACTCAAGAACAGAGGACTTGCAGGAATCCTCTAATATATATATTTTAAGCAAGTAGGGATGTTTTGGATGTTTGAGTGTTTATGGCTCTTCTAGTTCCACATGAGAGACTGTGCATTCTTGATAAACAGATGAAAGTACAGTAACTTTAGAGTCTGGATGCTTCACACAATGACATTAACACTAGTTACCTTTACTCTTTGAAGTCTATCTAACAAATGCATAACCCTTTTAAATACCTACCAAGCAGGAACTTGTCCAGACAGGCACTGTTATTAGCAACTCTTGGTAATTGCCAGCGTTTTATGAGTTTGAACCAAATGTTTTATCATTCAAAATAAGAGCACCCTTATTATGCAAGTCTCTTCATAAATCACAGATAAAACACATTACATAGAACTATGTGAACTATATGAAGCTGTATTTGTTATATTCAACAGATAATACTAAGTACAATTAAACAGTTATGCAGTTAAACAATATACAAATAAATAGACTCGAAATTCAGGTTATAAACTATTGTCTGTTTTTCTATTTTGTTTTTGTTATTGTTATTTTGTTCTTGTTTTGTTTTGTTTTGTTTTGTTTTTAACTAAGGACTAAGATTAAAAACATTGCTGTGCTGTACTGCTTTTTCATACTGTTTGTTGATTGCTGGTAGAAGCCACACAGTAATTCAGTTTGATTCTTTCAGCGCAAGAAGAGTGCAATCTTCTAGCAGTTTTGCCTACACGAAGTCCTTCTCTTAGTAGATCTCCCAAACAGATCTGTGCAAATACAGGCAGTTTGGATGTTTCTTTTGCGGCAAACTCTATCTATTGCCTGTCACTTTGCCCGAGAAGAATTGCTGCTAGCATTTTAACAAGTGTCGATCTCTGCGAAGAAGAGACACGCGAGAAATTGAACCCACGTCCTAGAGCGTTGCCAGCGCCCCTGGTCCGCAACTACCTGAGGCCGTTCCCTCCCCCCGCGCCGCGCTTCAGCACCACCGACAGCTCCACGCCCGCACACGGCCGCGTATCGGCGGCCCCGCCGTAGAAGCGCTGGCTGGGTGCAGCACCGGCCCCGGGGGTGGCTTCCAGATCAGCCGTGGAAGCCGTGGCCTTGCTGTCCTTCTGTCCTTCCTTTCCAGCCATCAGCCCGCCTCTCAACCCTGATGAGTGCCTGTTATCAGAGACCCGTCTGCGCACAGCCAGGGGATAGTATCTCTGATGTAGTTTTGTTGGAAGGTAGAATGGCATTCCACAAAGATTGCGTGAGTTCTAGCCAGTGGGAAGTTATTAAATGATTTTAGCTACCTTTTGTTGTTGTTGTTGTTTTAAAAGTGCGTGATAAACATGAATTTAAGTGTGTGACAGGATTGCTTAAATGTCCTTCTTAGGCCTGTACCTCACTTATTTCTTGGCTATTCCTCTTAAAGGCATGTGCTCGAACAACTCCCTGGGCGCGAGCAACTGGGCCTTTCACAGACAGCAGTGGCACCCGTGAAGAATTCAGACTGCTCTTGAATAGCTTTCCACTACCAACCTCCAGGTATGCACATGAATATTTTGGAAATGCTTATGCTTTTATTTATTTTTTTTTTTTCTCCCAAAACTTAGAGATGATACAACTTAATTCTTGCAGAAGTTTAAAACAACATTATTCAAATGAATAAATGACTTTTTAAAGTTTGGTACCATTCATTCAGTTGTGCACTTCAGCCTACTCATGCATAAATGCCCTCTACTATGGATTGGGTGGGTTGGATACTGTGGGTTGGAGCTGAGGTTTTGTCTAGTTTTTGTTTTAATCTCTATTTAATGTACAAGCACAGATGAAAGAATACTGGCAATGTATATATTTAAGTATTAACAAGATGTGCATATAACTCCAATGCATTAGGGCATAAAACATTAGAAGTCCACACCTAAAGGCACTTCTTAACAACTCAAACCTGCTCAGGGCCCAGGATCCTTCGGAGTGTTTTAATGAACTGAATGAGCCCCAGTGAGGTCAGTCATCCCTTTAGAGGATGACCCAAAAACGTAGCTATAGAGTCATCCCATCCAGGCCCTCTGCATTGCAGCTGGACTGATAATTAGTGTTGGTGCTTTGTGTAAGAAACTCAAAATACCTGTAAACCGTCGTTCAATTAAACTGATTACTAAATTTGCCATTAAGAACGGGTGATAACTAAAGATCAGCCTTTGGGAATGACAAAAGGAAGTGCACAACACTGGAAGGCGAAGTTTTGCCACAGTGTTTACTCCCATTACTCTTGTTTGAAGATGATAAAACTGAACACCTACAAATATCTATGCTTTCCATTGTACAGCGTCCACCGCTGTTGCTTTTTATGTACTCAGGGAGATTTTTCTCACAGTCTGGTGTTTGCGTCTATTGACTTTGTAATCTGTAGACAGACTCTTAATGAGCAGAAAAGACAAGAACCACGGAGATAAACCCTTAGAATAACAGTGAGCCTTTACAGCTTGTCAGCAAGAGAAAGCTCAAACATAAATATCTGGTTTACAGAAGTAACACAACTTATTTTGATAGATTACATTGTTTCTGTTTCAAATTACTCTGTCAAAAGGGGAAGAAAAGGTTAAAAGGTCATATTTTTTAAAATGCTTGAAAGGGCTCTTTCAAGGGTTTGGTTGGTTTTTGGTGTTTTTTCCACAAATACCAACCCTATGTTTAATCAATTATTCGTGGTGGTGCATAAGCTCTACTTCGCCTGCCTGTCAAAGGTGCTGATTTTGTTACATTCAGTTCTAGAAGCCCCCTCAAATGGGCAGGAACAGGATCTAAAGACTCCAGAGGTGGGCTGCAGATCGGAGGCATTATTCCATGGTTTCCTGTTGAGCGAGGTTTTCTTTGCTGTTTTGAGTCCCTTTTCGAGAGTAGGGGACTTGTAAGCAGAAGGGAGTCAAAGTTTGTTTTTGTTGTTGTTGGAAAAAGCTTTAAACAACGAGTATCCATCCCGACAAGAGGTAATCGAAGACATCATATTCACACAGTTTAACACGCGTCAAAAGAACAGAAAAGATCCTCCTGGCCGCGCGGGGCTGAATCAGCTGTCTTGGCCATCAGTGCAGCATCCCCCGCGTGCCCGCACACCGCAGGCAAACCCCTCTGCTGCTCCCACACCTGGAGCCGGTACACGGCAGACAGCGGGGCCGGCTGCGGCCGGGGCCCGACGGGGACGGGGTGAAGGCGCTGCGCGGGTCTCGGCGCCGCCGATGCGCGGTGCGCGGTACGGGCGGAGCGCGGGCACGGCCCTGCCCCGGGCGCTCGGTTCACCGGCAGCCGGGAGCCGGAATAAATCACAAAGGCACGTTTAACGTTAGTGACTCTTTAAATGGAATTTTTCATTCAAACTTTGTCATTAAAATAGAAAGGCCTTTTGGCCGTGACCATACGAGCATAATAAATCGTATATGTTTGCGATACTGAATGAATCTCGCCCATATGCTGCGCTGCAAGGCTACATGAATGAAGCATTTACCAAATCAGGCCCACCACATTAAACAGAAAAACAATCTTTATTCATGGTAACTTATCAGTTACAATTAATCAACCTCGACAATAGAAATTCTGATGTGTTCAAGCAACTTGAAAGCAATAGGTCATCTCCAGGGCAGCCATGTTGTGTCTTTGTGCCTATGGCTTCGAACAAAGCAACATCTCCGATAAATGTACATCCCCACACACATGTGTGCGCCTCCGTGGATAAATATCTCTGCACGCCGAGGGCCGCGGCGTACGCGCACGGCTGCGCGGAGAGTGTTTATCTTTTTGTCGTACAAAAAGTAATTGTTTTCTAGTATTTTTTGAGCTCCGCAAGTTTAAACAAAAGCAAAGAAATTTCCATTGGATGACCATCCTTTCAGTTTCTCTGCTGCTATGTGAATAGCATTGTGCAAACCATTCCAACGGTATTGAAAAGGGGTAACCATTGGTTTGATTTGGTTACACGGTTTCGTAAAGAGCTCCCTCCCACTGCCTTAGGGTCTGTGAAAGGTCCGTGACCTGTTTAGAACTGCCGAGGGAAATGTCATGTCGCCCCTCCCAAATGGGAGTATCTGCATTCATTTGATCAGTATAAAAAATGATTGGGGATGGCGAGATCAGGGCTTTTGAATCGCAATTTATAGCAGTTTACAAAAATGCACATTGTTGGAAAAGAAAACATGGAAGTGTTGCTTTCTAAATTGCATTACCTGTGAAATGTCATTAGTCTTTTTAGGATATCGCGTCCTATTTTTTATGATCTCAGAGAGAGATTAAACGCACAAGTTCGGTGTTCGCCCGGGATAGGAGCGCATACGGCGCTACCGGCGCTGCGCGGCGACTTTCGCCGTCACGGAACGTCCCCGGTTCTGCCCCGGGCTCCGCCCGCGGGTCCGCTGCCACCGCGTCGCGGGACCGAATCGCTTCCTAAGACCCCTCCGCCCCCGGGGGCGTCCGGCCGTGCGCGCGGCTCAGCCCCCACCTCCCCGCCCGGCCTCGGAGTCCCTGAGCGCTGAGTTTGTTATCCTCCCGATTGCCCTCGCAGCCCCACACCTCGCAAAAACCAAACGCGGGGGAACTTGGACGCTTCGTTTAAACCATCCGCCCTTGAACGCGTCAGCTCTCTCACGCGGAGGTGGCCGTCGGGGGGTCCCTGCTCTCCAGTTCCCTGCCTCTGCCGGGCGGTACCGAGGGGGTCCGACGTGGAAACGGGAGCGGGGGTGAGCGGCGGGAGGGGGCAGATGGGGCCCCGGCGGCACCCTCCTCCCTCCATTCAACGTGGGGTCCTCAGGAGCTGCGGGACTCCCCCTCCTGCTCTCGGGGTGCCTGGCCTCGGCTGGTCCTCCTGGGGCCCCCTCCCGGGCCTTTGCTCTTCGGGAGCCAAATGTTGCTCTCCGAAAGAGGAGCCTCACCGAGAGCGGCCACCTTCCCCCTCCAGAGCCTCCAGACCCGGACGTGTCATCCCTGACACCGGGAAAAAATTTGGAGATGCCTCCGCTCCGGTAGTTTTTGGGTCCCGTAGCGGTCGCCCACGGCCGAAGCGCTTCAACGGGGCGGATAAATTATCGGAGGAATCAAAGCCTTGAAGGGCTTAATTGGGAAACGCGGCCCCGGTTCCAACCAACTTCCGTACAATTGCACACTGCGGTCCACCATTATTCGAGCTTCATCTACTATGCACTATATACCACCGCCTCCAAAGGATTGTTGCCCTAGAAACTTGTTTTAAATCTCCAGCTATATATCAACACCTCGTTTTAGCAGTCCTTGGCTGAATTACAGTTACACAGTTTGGCGCTTCTTTCAAATTTCCTCCCATCACTTTGGCCAAAGAAAGGAATTTTTCTCCTTTAGAAATGAATTGGCTTAATTAGTAAGTAGATTAATGGCAATTGCTGGTGAGTTGGTTTCCAGCAGAGTTTCACCAGAGAGGGTTAATCGGAGTCAGGTCTGGAATCTTTCC